GGAGAATACTGTCATGTAATATTTTATTGGCAAAAACAGTATTTATTAAAAAAATTAACAAATTATCACTGACATTGCGTATGTAAGACAGGAGTAAAAATTAGTTTCATTTTGTCAAAACCTAAAAAACCGCCATGTTTAACATCTGGGTATAATATAAAGCTCAGTAACATGCAATATATATATATATAATAAACCTTTTTTTCTTTCTCAAGTATTGTTAAACAATTCTAATATTACTACAGGAAAATTTGTCAATCTCTCAATATAGTTAATAATGCACTATGTGTACTTCAGGGCTTTTCGGTCCACGGACAAATGAAATTAAAGATAAAACAAGGGAAGGGAGAACGATTTAAATGGTGCAGAATTACAGAGATTCATATGATATGTTTGTTTAATTGCTATAACAACTAAAACAATGTTACCATAGCAACATATATCTTAAATATCAAAAACAAAATTTATCCACAAACTTGTCATCTTTCGTTATAAAAAATTTCTTATCTAAAAGTCAAAAATTTGTAAATTTTACTCTATACATTTGTATATTTATTCTATCATGGAATGCAGTTACTATATTGTGACTCTAGAATAAAATTGAAAATTCAACGTTTTTATACACATGAAACAATTTTGATCAAGAAAACAAGTAATTTAGCGAAGAAATTTCATAATCATAATGACAGTGCAAATTTTCTAAACATATTAACAGTTATTGCAAAACATGTGACGATCATTAAATTAGAAAGCAGTATACAATTAAAGTCATGAATAATCGGTATCTCAGTCTATAAAGAAAACAAACCAGTCTACTGGTAAAAATGTGATAAACCAGTCACATCACATAATCTTGATAGCCAGTCTCCGAATAAATAATGAAATTCTGCTCAGGATCATTGAGATCTATAACTGTGGATAGGTGGTGTTGACAAAGTCTGCGTGATCTCCTTAGTCTTTTATTTTATTCCTGTATTGTGATTTTGTATTCAGGACAATCCAGTCTTATGTACTTAACCACCGTGACTATACATCCTAACCCATGTGTAAATCCTGCATCCAGATGCCATCTGCTCCTTAGGTTCTAAACCTCCTGCTCATCTATTAGTACCTGCAAATAGAACAAAATAGGTGTGATAAGGTCCGACTAAACGGCGCAAGGAATGCTTTCCTTTTATTCTGTGCTTAACAGGTTCTCTTGCAGTGGCTGGTTCCTCTTCCGTAGTCTTCACTTGGTAAGAAGAGCTTCTCAGGTGCCCCTCTGTGCCTATTTTCAGGTGCGAAAGCAGGCACCTGGAGTATGGGAACCATCATCTCTTTCAAGCAAAATGCAAATCACTTCTATAACATCCTGGCGAGTGTCCGTCGTATGTGTAGTATTACAGTGGTCCTGAAGTCCAATGAACGTAACCATCTGACCAAACCCCAAAACAAATGTTCATCTACTAAGACCTATAACAACAACAACCAATTTGAAACTTTAGTATGCTAGCCAGAATTTACGGGTACACTTAAGCCACACTAACAGGCTACTGACCTCTTTTGGTCCTGCTCGTGCTCTTGAGATATCTGCCAGTGGATTGCGACCCGCCAAACTGTTGTGGAGATTTGGCCATTATTTCTATACAATTTGGGCTTTGGGATGATTTCTTGCGTTAAAATAATGGAACAATGAGTCAATATGCACACAGACAAGTTCCACAAGGATAGCTATTTTCATACATGAAATGTATGAATTAGAATTTTGTTTTATTGGCATAGGTTCTTCTACAACTCACCGAATGTCCACTGCCTAAGGTTGTCCCATGGAATCTGCAGAAACGAACACACTTTGGTACCACCTGTTCTATACATTTTTTCAGCCACCAGCCACAACTGGGCATCCATCTGGTTTGCTTCATAATGTAGAAGAAATCAACATCATGAAGGCGCAAAGTGCGATGTTGCCAAGTGAATGAACCGTCAGCGACATCATCAAAACCAAATCTTGGTCGACTCGAGTCCCACATCATGATAAAATACAAGTATATCTCAATACACATACCTGTTAAATACGACTTCGGGGCTCTGAAGGGGGGTCTTAGACGAGTCGACGACTATTTGGCTTGTTCATCAGTGAGCTCAGTTAGTAGTCGTGCACTCAATATGGTGGTTTAAATTGAAGGAGAGGCAACATACTCCGTCCTGTAATATAAATATACTACATAAACACCTATAAACCCCTGGACCACACTAAATATCCTTACTCAATATGGACTGGTCCTTCCTTTCAATCTGGGATAAAACCATGTCTTATCATTTAAAGGGCAACATCTTTTTTAAAATACCTGCCGTTACTACCGACCCTGAATAGCCAAAAGTGCAACACCATGATCAGACGGCCCCTGATGTTAACATTCTTTAACAAAAACTGTCCTAGTAATGAATCATAAAACAATAGAAAAAAATAGAAACAAAGAATAAACATTTTTAATCTTTTCTTTAAAATAGCATTTACATGTACATGCTATTGCATCTAATTTTGAGATGAACATTTAATGATGTTTATCGAGTATAACAATATAAATATTTATATTACACTATAATGATCCAGGAATTGTACTTCTAAAACGAACAAATTGTCACCTTAACACGTCTTCTTTACTTTTTGGACCTGCATTTCTCAGTAAAATGTTATGTTGACCATCCAAATCAACAATTTACCCATTCCAGATTAGTAAGCTTAGACCACACTGTCTCAAGAAACAACCTCGATAAACTAAATTGGTTTTGTCATCTTAAATTTCAAAAAACAACGGATAAATAATGTTCAGGACATATCTATACTAGTACCAGTTGACCCAACGACCAGTTAAATATGGCCACTATACATGAAATGACTCGAAGATAAAACACACTCTAAGCGACACATACCATTTTCTTAGTAAGAGGTAAGACATCCTGCTTGTATTACTGCCGGCCAGGCTCGGCATAGTACATGTTCCTATTAAAGCTAGCGACCTGAAAATATACGAATCATCTTATTATTGCCACCATATTCGAAGAGAGAGATAGGAGGTATATTGCTATCTGCCACTTGTAGGTTGCCGTCCTTGGTTTCTGTCCACGGATTCCGGGCGTTCGGTACCGTCCGCGCTCTGCTAGACCAAATGGTTTTACCGAGTGATAACTAAAGAACCCTTAGGCCTTGGAACTTCAAACTTAGTATGGTGATTGGTTCATGACAAGTAGATGACCCCTATTGATTTTGGGGTCGAGGGGTCAAAGGTCAAGGTCACATTGACCTTGTAAGCAAAAACGGTTTCCGATCAATAACTAAAAGAACCTTAAGGCCTAGGAAACTTCAAAATGGTATGGTGATTGGTCATGATCAGTAGATGACCCCATATTGATTTTGGGGTCAAGGGGTCAAAGGTCAAGGTCACATTGACCTTGTAAGCAAAAAACGGTTTCCGATCAATAAGTTAAAGAACCTTAAGGCCTAGGAACTTCAAACTTGGTATGTGATTGGTCATGATCAGTAGATGACCCCTATTGATTTTGGGGTCAAGGGGTCAAAGGTCACATTGACCTCTTGGGTAAAAACGGTTTCCGATCAATAACAAAAGAACCCTTAGGCCTAGGAACTTCAAACTTGGTATGGTGATTGGTTATGACCAGCAGATGACCCCTATTGATTTTGGGGTTAATGGGTCAAAGGTCAAGGTCACATTGACCTTGTAGGTAAAAACGGTTTCTGATCAATAACCAAAGAACCCTTAGGCCTAGGGACTTCAAACTTGGTATGGTGATTGGTCATGATTAGTAGATGACCCCTATTGATTTTGGGGTCAAGGGGTCAAAGGTCAAGGTCACATTGACCTCTTAGGTAAAAACAGTTTCCGATCAATAACTAAAGAACCCTTAGGCCTAGGAACTTCAAACTTGGTATGGTGATTGGTCATGATCAGTAGATGACCCCTATTGATTTTGGGGTCAAGTGGTCAGAGGTCAAGGTCACATTGACCTCTTAGATAAAAACAGTTTCCGATCAATAACTAAAGAACCCTTAGGCCTAGGAACTTCAAACTTGGTATGGTGATTGGTCATGACCAGCAGATGACCCCTATTGATTTTGGGTTTAAGGGGTCAAAGGACAAGGTCACATTGACCTTGTAGGTAAAAATGCTTTCCGATCAATAACTTAAGAACCCTTAGGCCTAGGAACTTCAAACTTGGTATGGTGATTGGTCATGACCAGCAGATGACCTATTGTTTTTGGGGTCAAGGGGTCAAAGGCCATGTAACATTGACCTTGTAGGTAAAAACGGTTTCCGATCAATTAACTAAAAACGCTTAGGCCTAGGAACTTCAAACTTTGTATGATGATTGGTGGTGACCAGCAGATGACCCCTATTGAGTTTTTGGTCAAGGGGTCAAAGGTCAAGGTCACATTGACCTTGTAAGTAAAACGGTTTCTGATCAATAACTTAAGAAACGCTTAGGCCTAGGAACTTCAAACTTGGTATGGTGATTTTTCATGACCAGCAGATGATCCCTATTGATTTTGGGGTCAAAGGTCAAGGTCACATTGACCTTGTATATTAAAACGGTTTCGGATCAATAATAAAAGAACCCTTAGGCCTAGGAACTTCAAAACTTGGCATGGTGATTAGTCATGACCAGCAAATGACCCCTATTGATTTTGGGGTCAAGGGTCAAAGGTCAAGGTCACATTGACCTTGTAGGTAAAAACGGTTTTCTGATCAATTAACTAAAAACGCTTAGGCCTAGGAACTTCAAACTTTGTATGATGATTGGTCTTGACCAGCAGATGACCCCTATTGAGTTTTGGGTCAAGGGGTCAAAGGTCAAGGTCATGACCAGTAGATACTTGATAACCCTTATTAATTGTTTGATCACTGGGTCAGAAGTCATGCATAATTACCTTATCACATGAATAATTGGCTGCTGATAGGGGGCATACATGTTTTACAAACATATCTTGTTTATAGATATATTCAAATGGCAGACGGCAGGTGCATTAAAGCTAGCGCCTGAAATATACGAATCATTTATTCATAGATGGCAGACGTACAACTTATATAACAAGTATTAACAAGTATGATTTGATAAAGAATGTGCAAATCAAGTTTATACGCGAGACAATACGTTGGTATTTTATTGCTTAGATCTAACGAGGAATAATAAATTTAAATGCGATGTAAGATTGGTGCTTAGTTTCCCCTGAGAAATTATGCTTATTTTATATAAATAAAACAAGCTAAAGGTGAGCTACTGGATAATGTGGGGTCAATTTTGACTGCATGGTCCTAGTTTTACCAGTGTAGAGGAATAACCCCCAATGCTACAAGCCTTTAGGACTAATGTTTTCTGATAACCTGTTTTTAGTTTTCATTTTGTTACACAAGTCTATGTAAAAGTGGTGACCACCGGCTTGGGGTCCATTTTTCTTACAGAGGCAATATTTAAACAATCTTCAGAATACAATTTTGTTTCAAGTAAGAATTTATTAGAGTTACTCCACTTAACAATTTTTGACAGGAGGGTACTGAAAATATTTTTCTGTGATGTGATGTAGGTCTTGACCAATAACTTGTTTCAAAATTTTCTGAACATTCCCTCATTCGATTTTTCATCATTTTATTGTGCAAAAGGACCAGAAAATGGAAATCCTTGTAATTGCACAAAAATAGATTTTTCAACTGAATTTTGAGCATATTGCTTTATTTTCTTTTGCAGATTTTTCCGTCTTAAGTAGATCTACTTCACTTGATCTATGTAAAAATTTCAAATATTTTATATTTTTAGGCTTTTTGATCTCAGGGAGCTCCTTTAAAATTCCAACAAAATATAATTGTCTCTATCAATGTAACAATTCTGTACTCAAAGACAAGGAAATTTGAGTTGCTACTCCTCTATAACATTGTTTACAGTTCCAATAAAGAAAATATTTCATTCCAAGGCACAAAGACTTAAAATATCATCCAAAAACATTAAGACTATTTATATGAAGGAGTTGTTCATATGTGTTTCCAGTGGTAACCAGAAACATTAGGAAATGTTCAGAACAAATAAGCAAATAAAAGTGAAAAGCCACTAGAGAGTATATCTGATCAGAAGCTTTGAAGATATGAAGACATAAAGGATAATTGGTTCTACTGAATGCTTTGAGATTTTCTCTAATTGGTAAACATCAGACAATAACATACCTGAGTAACTGCTGTGATAGAAACAACAAACGATGGCACACTTGAACAACTCAAGTTTACAAGACGACCCTGAAAAATAATATACATAAACATTTTCTGTGAAGTTTTTTATTTGTTTATATCTTACCATAAAATTTATATATTTACTTTCTTTCAAAACCTTTAATGTTTAGCTCACAAATATTTTTTTTTCAAATCATTGATGAAAAAACGTGTCATAACCTAGAAGCCAGGTTTAATATAAGGAGTATGACTTGAACCCATGATCCTTGGGTTAAGAGACAGGCATTATCACTCACTCGAAGTAAACTTTACAAGATGACCCTAAAAAGTTCACAATTGTCAATATATAGAGGATATTGAATGAGTGTAAGTTCAATACTGAATTTATTGCACGAGTTGAATAAAATTATATTATGCGAGCCTCTGGCGAGCATATTATTTTATTCAACTCGTGCAATAAATTCAGTAATGAACTTACACGAATTTAATATTCTATTTATCACATATCTAAATTAAAGACAATTTAAAGTGAAATAAGAGTCATTTTTCATTGACGCGCCTATAGTATAACGCTAACATTAAGCGCATCTTTACACTATGTTTGTATAACGCTAATGACGTCACGTCAAAATATATGCACGGCCGTGCAATACCATATTTACGGAGTCTCAAAATTGGCATGTGTGTGTGATAAATCTTGTTATTTAATGTACATGTAACTTACTTCAGCTAACAAGATTATTCTCTTGCCATCAGGCCAGATAACATGATCTACTTGTGAACGAACTTTCTCCCATGTCAAATCTGGAGTACGTAAACTATTCTGTAAGGTAAAAGATCAAATGTAACAAAATGTCAGGTCATAGGAAATATGGTTAGTAACTTCACTAACAATCTTTAAAGTAAAATTGGAAATAATTGCCACTAGGTCATTTGGGAAGGCAAGATCTGTAAGTTTGTACTGAACAAAATGCAACAAAGAACCTGGGACAATTATTTGTCTGTTGCAATAAAGTCAATGCAGTCTACAACCTTCCTACACAATAGCAGGATTCTGAAAACTTGTCAAAGAAAATTACATTTGTGAGTTATAGGTTCAAAATTGCTACCCTAAAACTTAACATTATATGCTACTGGATACCCAACACTTAATATGAGCCGCGCCATGACAAAACCAACATAATGGGTTTGCAACCAGCATGGATCCAGACCAGCCTGCGCATCTGCGCAGTCTGATCAGGATCCATGCTGTTCGCTTAAAAACCCTATAACAAGTAAAGAAACTAATAGCGAACAGCATGGATCCTGATCAGACTGAGCGGATGCACAGGCTGGTCTGGATCCATGCTGGTCACAAACCCATTATGTTGGTTTTGTCATGGTGCGGCTCATATTACTTTTTCATACAAACATCTAAAATCTATAAAAGAATTTGGTACTAGAATGTAGCAAAATTAATTTTTTCCTTCCTTTAGAAAACTTCATAATTAATGCCTCACTTATAAAATCGTAAATACATTATAATAATTATCCAGCATTTAAGGATATAAGTACAGAAAAGTCAAGTTAATCTTACCACATCAATTTCAGTATTGGAATGTCCCATATTACACACAATACATCCTGTCTTCATTCTGTCCATGTGTCCACGATTTACCACGTTCTTGTTTCCAGTACACGTGATTAACACGTCAATATTCTTAATGACCTCGTCAGCTCGTACAACACGGAACCCATCCATACTGCGAACAATACAAATTTATTCTTACATTTTATTCCAAATGCATGTTAAAATGTGTTCAGACTTGAACAATTTGAGTTTCTTTTCTCTTTTTCCCCAACAAAAGGGAAACAATAAGGGCAGAAGCAGAACAATCAATAATAGTTGGCAACTTAGATTTTCAGGGTGCCATTTCAAGTTTCTCTTCAATGTTAAAGCCAATAAAAAAGCCAAAAGAAAGCCAAACAGAAAGACAAAGTCAAATTTAACATATGCTTTATATCTTAAATCTGGACAAACTAATAATCAATTTTAAGGGAAAATATGTACAGACTGAATAGCGAACAGTGCAGACCATTAACGAATTTGCCAGCGCGGGTTGCACTGGTAAATTCACTCAAAACCCAGCAGAATAGGGGTTAAAGAAGACTGCCTTTCAGACTTATAAAGAACTAGGTCATAATCCATCTTGTCCACCAGATTAACTGGATTATTTTTTAAAGGGAAGATACCTGTATAATAAATCTAGCAAATGATTTCAGGAGGGCTTACCTTGCCTGCAAAGCACAGATAGGATCAATCTCTGTTACCATTACAATAGCTCCTAAACCCTTTAATGCTGAAGCCACACCTTTCCCAACCTGGAAAATAGATTTTAATAAGATTTAAACTTTGACAATGTAAAGGTCATTGTGAAAGAAGCATGCCTCCAGATTCATCCTAATTTTCATGAAAATTTTGAAAATGTATTTAAAGGTAAAATATTGTGAAATGAACAAAGAAAGTACTTGACACATTACAATCGGCACTTAAAATCCATGTAAATTACCAAAAAGAGGTCAAAATATGCATAAATTGCCCCTACAGTCATGAATTGCATATAAGATATAAATTATCACTTGAATCTTTAATTTGTTTACTTTCTCAAAGTTTTAGTATGGTTTTTCCAAGTTTAATTTTCTTTAAATATTTTGGATCATCTGGAGGCATGCAGCTTTAAAGCTGGAGGGAAAACTCTACAAGCATGTTCCCCTCTACACTCATATTCACCTAGTAAAATATGATAATTATTATAATGAAAATGGTCTTTTGATATTAAAACTTTTATCAAATACAATAAGAAAATACAACTCACTTATATGGATTATTTACAATAGATTATTCTTTAAAATCATATACATTTGTATGTAACCTTTATGCTTATTTTCACTAATACATTATGTCATTTAAGTTCTATTTAACAAAAGTACACATTTCACAACTAAACATGTTAACCTTTTATGATTTTTTTAAAGGAAAACATGAGCTTGCAGTGTGTCACATACTGTATAACAATGTCACATACTGTATAACATTGTCACATACTGTATAACATTGTCACATACTGTATAACATTGTCACATACTGTATTACAATGTCACATACTGTATTACATTGTCACATACTGTATTACATTGTCACATACTGGATAACATTGTCTAATACTGTATTACATTGTCACATACTGTATTACATTGTCACATACTGTATTACATTGTCACATACTGTATTACATTGTCACATACTGTATTACATTGTCACATACTGGATAACATTGTCTAATACTGTATTACATTTTCACATACTGTATAACATTGTCACATACTGTATTACATTGTCACATACTGTATTACATTGTCACATACTGTATTACATTGTCACATACTGTTTTACATTGTCACATACTGTATTACAATGTCACATACTGTATTACATTGTCACATACTGTATAACATTGTCACATACTGTATTACATTGTCACATACTGTATTACATTGTCACATACTGTATTACATTGTCACATACTGTATTACATTGTCACATACTGGATAACATTGTCTAATACTGTATTACATTGTCGCATACTGTATTACAATGTCACATACTGTATTACATTGTCACATACTGTATTACATTGTCACATACTGGATAACATTGTCTAATACTGTATTACATTTTCACATACTGTATAACATTGTCACATACTGTATTACATTGTCACATACTGTATTACATTGTCACATACTGTATTACATTGTCACATACTGGATAACATTGTCTAATACTGTATTACATTGTCACATACTGTATAACATTGTCACATACTGTATTACATTGTCACATACTGTATTACATTGTCACATACTGTATTACATTGTCACATACTGGATAACATTGTCTAATACTGTATTACATTGTCGCATACTGTATTACAATGTCACATACTGTATTACATTGTCACATACTGTTTTACATTGTCACATACTGTATTACAATGTCACATACTGTATTACATTGTCACATACTATATTACAATGGCACATACTGTATTACATTGTCACATACTGAATTACATTGTCACATACTGTATAACATTGTCACATATTATATTACATTGTCACATATTATATTACATTGTCACACACTGTTTACATTGTCACATACTGTACTACATTGTCACATAATGTATAACATTATAATATTCTGTATGTATTGCAGTCAAAATACATACCTCACCATATCCACAGACTAGCACCTGTTTCCCTCCAAACATGATGTCAGTAGTTCTCTTCAATCTGTAACATGTACAATTATTTCATCTTAAAATTGCTCCTCTTTTTAAATGAGCAAGAAAATCAACACATGATGACAGAAATTTAAATTTGCATTTAACATCAATGTTTATAACAATAATTTGTGAAAGCCAAAAAAAAAAAAAAAGAAGAAAATACTGCAACTTGTAACTGTATGTATCTGATCATATGTATTTAATACATGGAACCGTTAAAGTGAATTGGTCAACAATTGGCATATTTTTCTGAAAAAATTCAAATATTGATAAAAACAATATATGAATTTCATTTAGATATTCTAACAAAATTTTTCTTTAATAAATACATGACAAGATAATTTTAACTTACGCATCTAAAATAGATTCTCTGCAGCTATACAAGTTGTCAAACTTTGTCTGAAATTATAATTACAAAAAATGAGCAGCGTCACGACAAAACCAACATAGTGGATTTGCGACCAGCATGGATCCAGACAGCCTGCGCATTCGCGCAGTCTGATCAGGATCCATCCTGTTCGCTTACAAACCCTATTACAAGTAGAGAAACTGATAACGAACAGCATGGATCCTGATCAGACTGTGCGGATGCTCAGGCTGGTCTGGATCAATGCTGGTCGCAAACCCATTATGTTGGTTTTGTCATGACACGGCTCAAATGCATTTTTAATCTAGAAATATAAATAAACATCCAAGTTTTTTATATGGATATGTTTAGGAAGTTTTAAAATTTTAACTAACAGCATTTATACATCTGTGTTACATATGTTTTTTTTCTTCTAAATTTATACTGCTCATACTTCAATGCTTGCAATCAGAAACATCTTTAACAAATTATGACCCTTCATTTCTTTGGTCACTTTGACATTTTGTCCACTTGAAAAGATTTAAATTTTCTATTCATGGGTATAAATTATAATTTTCTATTCAGTTGTGTAAATTTACTTTTTTTATTCACTTGTGAAGATTCAGATTTTCTATTCAGTTGTGTAGATACAGATCTTCTATTCAACTGTGTAAATTAAAATTTTCTATTCAGTTGTGTATATAAAGATTTTCTATTCAGTTGTGTATATTTAAATTTTCTATTTAAGAAGAATATTTTTATACAGCTTCAGTCAGCATTGTCTCACTAAGACCATAGGAACTAATTTTTGGAACAATCATCTCCTATGCAAATTACAACAACAAGCAGACTTGTTTCTCAGCCAGTTTATCACCCAAAATACAGAACTGTTTTAGTAATATACTTCTAATTAAGAAGCCGCTACCATAACCTCGCCTTTAGACGGTAATTTGTATTTATTGATGAAGTCTGGTGGGACGTACATAACGGAAATCAAAAGTGACGCTTATTTACTTCAGACATGGATCGTTCCTGCACCTCAACAATAAAGCATGTCAAAACTTTGTAATTTTCCGGCAGTAAAGTTATTTTATGATTGCTGTATGTAAAACTAATCATTTCCAAGGCTATCCCGGATTCATGACAAGAATGCATATCTCAGCAAAATCGATTTTATCATGAAAATGAACGATTATATATTGATAACTTTACGCAATCGGCAGTCAAATATGACAAACTGCCAAAAATACATAGCACTCTAATCAAGAATCTTTTCTACAAGGAATAATTTAAGTTATAAATCATATAAATAAAAAACACTAAATTAACAGTTATGACCTTCAGAAAAGACGCCATATGATAATTTATCAATTTCATATTTTCATATGTCTACTAGACTACAAGGTGGTGATCATGCTTAATATTCTCTTTCTATGCCTGCACCACATATTACACAAATTTTATTAAGGAAGTAATTTTCATTGGTTACATTGTGTCAGAAACCCTCAGATTTTCTCACTACACTGTACATCATTTTAAACACATCATGCCCCCCCCCCCCCCCAAAAAAAAAACAACAACAATACCAAACAAACTTTATTTTTAGTGTTCTGTTATAATTTCCAAAGAATTATTGTTTGGCCAGTTACCTGAACCATCTTTTGCTCATCTTGCTATTTGGTGATTTGTAAAAATATAGTGATTTTGTATTTTGGATGGAAGTCAAAATACTTCTTTGTTTACTTTTTATTACTTCTTTGAAAAATAATTTCATATTTACTGCTACTTTCTTTGGGTAAAAAGCATCTAAAATGCTATAAAAGTTATAAAACCATTATTTAAATATTCTGAAACTCATGTTTGCTTGAGGAATAAAGAATGAAAAAGGCATAAAGTTCCTTTAACAGCTTCACGCAATCCCTGGAAATTACACCATTAACTTTCAACAGTAAAGTCTGCTTAAAACGATATATTCAGATGACTGCCAAGTTTATATCATTATATCCAAGAGGCAACCAATTCAAAAACAAGAGTCAGGACCTTGGCAACACGCTGCATGGCTATAAGAAGTTTATTGTTTTAAGCCATATTGTTATGTATATATGTTGCCATTGATTAATTCAATACCTTTGTTACAGAGTCATTGACGTTCATGGCTGGTACGGTAAGTTTACCACCCTTTGACAGTTGGTAAAGTCGGTGCACACCAGTCACACTTTCCTCTACCAGACCTTTCACCATGTTGAACAAGGCTGGGTACCTTTTCAACATAAGATGAGTCGCATCACCACCATCATCCAAAATCTGGAATAAGAAAATCAACATTATGTTTTATTCAGTAACATTCTTAGAGTAAAATACTTTTTTTCTTTATTTTATGAGCTGTGAAATAAGATTGTAATTTTACCATCTGCCAGTTTTTGTTTTTTTTAATGGGACTTGTCCACCATCCCTTTGTTTCAACTATTAACTACCGGGTATAATCAATTTTTGGGATATCAAAATAAAAAATTTTGAGTAGGTCAGTCTACAGTATACAGCCAAGTTAGACTGCACTCAATATGCATGCTGGCCTGGTTCCAGTAACAGATTTGTGAGTGTTTCAATAGGTTACAGCTTTAAACACAAAGAATAAAAGAAATTCATATCAACTTATCTTCAAATTTGCCTAAAAAATGCCTCACAAAATTCTTGTAATAATCATCACGAAGTTCTGAATTTTCACCACCAGGAAAAAAATGCTTATTTAATATGGCAGGAAAATGCAACCGTATTAAATAATACAAGATTTTTTTGGTCAATTTCCGATTCTGGTAAATGCTTTTTTGCATACAACAATGAAATAAACATTTATGAGAAAGATTTTAGACATTGGTTAATTTTCTCTCTTGTCATTTCTTATCTAATTTTAGTTTTCTAATTTGCCATTTCCCTTTACTATCAAGGGTATGTATCTAAGATCTAAGCAATTCTTGGCCAAATAAAATCTAATTTGTTTTTCTGTGCAGGGGGGAAGCCACTAAATTATTAAATAATTCCTAAATGGATTATACTTAAGTGATTTCCTTCCTGCATTAAGAAAAGACAAGAAACTGTTCTTCTGGAATTTTATTACAAAAAAAAACAGTCGGAGAGGGTTTAGTGCAACTTGCATATCAATGTTTATGTTTAACTTCAAAGAGGACCATGTTCATACAAAACAAACATGAATGGGTTTGTTTTGCATATGTTTATCTTTTCATTTATTAGCTGCACCAAAACACTCTAAACATTTCAGGTCACCAAGTAGAAAAATTGTTTGTAAAGGTGCTTTTTTTGTAACTGCAGAAACTGGTAATTGGTATATATTTACCAGTACATGGCATTTTTAAAACATCAATAGATTTATCTAAGAATTATCAAATATGAATTGTATGTAACCTATTTTGTTTTTCTCTCCCTTAAAATTAATACCAATATAAGTTACAAGAAAAGCATTGATGCAAAACATCAAAGGGCGTCCAAGCAAGAAATGCAGAAAGTGAAGATGAACTAGTAGACATATGATGTCAAGATATTCTTATAAACTTTTCAATGGTTAATTGGTTTTTACCAAAATGAACGGACGGAAGACATTGTTCATTATGAACTTTGATTGGCATGCTAGAGATTAGAACACTACTTGTTATTTCTTTATGATCGTGATTATTAATAGCAACTGATATACATGTATACAATCATTTATAATCCATACCCATGTGTAACGCATGATCAACACCACACTTGTGGAATTGTCCCTTAAATATTATGTAATCGCTATTAGCGAAGACCCCCTCTTAAGGTATCTGTTCACACTTAGTAAAAATATGACACTGGTTATATTACCATGTCATGTTGAGCATTATTGTTTATTATACAATAATTGTAATATTTATTTTAATAACAAAAATACAGATTTTATGAATATTGTTTTCCTCTCTTTTTTTGTGTTTTTATGTGCTATTTTAATACTGAGTTTTTTACGTTTACTACTCTCTTTTTATTAAAATTGTAAAATAAATTTTAAGAATTCAAATGTCATATTGACCGACGATTATAAGTCAAAACTTAACTGGAAAAAGTCAGTAAATTATGGTAAATCTTTCAATATATAATATTGTTTATTCTTAAACCATGTACATGTACATAAAATTTTGTATTTTTCTTTATCATTTTTTAAATTATCAATCAATTAAATAATTAATAAAATCTAATTTGTAACTTTGAATAATTCGTCGGCATCTTTACTAAACACGAATAACAAATTAAATAAAATGTTTCAAAGTTGATAGTGTCATATTAAAACCATAAAAAATGTACTTTTTTTTATATTTATTGGTTTTATCTCATATAGATAAAATGAAACATGCTATTGTTGTTGTTGTTTTTTTCGAATTGTATGTTTATGTATAATAATAATCAATAAATTTGAGAGTTGATCTATGTTTATTAATTATTGTAACCAAACTAAGTGACAAACATTCATTTTGGAAAAAAGCTTATTTATCTGTAAAATATTTGTTCTGTTCTGTAACGATATCAAACATCTACTCCAAAACCGGGAGAGACCGGACAATAAACGTGTGATACTTTTCGCCGGTCACTAGTATCACGGTCAAAATAGACCGGGAGAGACCGGAATTACCGATAGGAGTACATCCCTCTATAAATAGATTTTCGGAATATTTAGGTCATCAACTCATCATTCTATTTTAACATACCATGATAACCCACTGTGTACTACAAAATGATAAATAAAAAACCGAAGAGACGGAAAAGGTTATTGCATTTGAAAATGTTTGCATTGCGAAATCCTCCAGTTCGCTATTCATTGTACATATCGCGACATTTCATTTTTAATTAATAATAATCAAGCACCCTCATACCGATCGGAATGATCGGCTTTTATTATGACCGACTAAAAGGCTCGAGAAGTTGCTGTCGCCCTTTCACAAAATCTGATTTCATTCCATAAAGGGGCGCCGCGCTTCGGCGCGGACGCCAATAATAAAACAACCCATGGATTGAATTGGTCAAGACAAATCAGACCCATAGATTTTGTCAATGATTTAAATCATTTCTAAATAAGAATGTATATGGATAAACTGGGAAAAAAATCACTATTAGTGTCAGAAAGACATTTGTAAAAATAACCTATTGTTTTAAAGCATCAAATAAATATTATTGATGACAAAACTGCTAAGGATTATGTCTAGGTATAATTTGCTGACCCAATGTCATAGTTTACAACTGTTCACTTATTATAATAGTATATGGGGAAAGCATAATATGTAAGTGGCCAGACAGCTCAGTCAGTAGAGTTGCAGTACACTATTCTGAGGGTTGAGTCCCTGCAAATATTTATCTACAACAACACTGTTGTAAGTCAATTTATATTATATACAGTAAAAGCAATGACATAGCAGCAATTACCATATGTGAAAGAAGATAACATGAAAATATCAAAAGATAAAAGAAATTTGTAAATTCTTGTAACTCAGTTTTTCTGTACTAAGTTTTCAATTATTTAAAGATGCACTCCCCACTCTATATTAGAAATTTGAGTCTCAAAAATATGTCTTATAATCACAAAGGGATGGGAAGTTATAAACTGGATATAATATGCAATGGCCAGTGTTATAGGGAACAGGGAACCTACCATGTTTGGTTGCCAGCCATCAGCATTGACACATTTGTCAATAGACCACCAGAAGTCTTCCTCAGTCTCGCCCTTCCAGGCAAATATTGGGTAACCTGATTCTGCCAGGGCAGCTGCTACCTCATTCTGCAAATATATAATTATATAAATTTATAAACTTTGATTTTAAATTCTTGATCAAGAATGCTATCACTACAGCTTGATTAAGGTTGCTGACATCAAATTGCTTGCCAATAACTGCTTCATCATGCACACTAACTTCAATCATGTGAAGGAATTCATCGTCAAGGGAACAACTGCTGTCTGGAAATTGTTCAAAACAATGTTTGATCACTTCTGGGCTAAAATATGTAAGTTTCAACTGTCTCATTTGAGAATCACCAAATTTCAATGAACATTTAAATACCTAAATGTTTGATATACATGTATCACATCCTTTGTACTAAAGCAAGATTTATTTCCGTATTTCAGTTTTCCTGGCACATGATTAAATACAGATAAATCACCTTAAAATTAATAGGTAAACTCAATGGAAAATTCTGATTAGATATGGCAAACCAAGATTGGATAAGGTTTTATAAAATCTTATAGATCACTGTCTTACACATGGTAAATTAGGTGATATCTGACATAGATGATATATACTGATATAATATTTTCCAGATTTTACTGCAAAACTGTTTTAGTTTAAACACTTTATATTGAATTTTGATTTCTTCAATCAATCTTGGAACTAGCTAGCTGTAGTTGTGAGCTTATAGTAGGGCTCCAAAATCATGACCCATTCACCCTTAACAACTAGGCCACTGCTACCTAAGCAAAACTGTTTTAATTTGTTGAGTGTCAAGAGTGAAAATATCAACAATGACGTAAGTGTTGACTTTGTTAAATGTCCTCCTCCTGTCCCAAATGTGGGGGTGTCTTATGAAAACTGTTTGTTTTGGTTGGGTTTTATGTCAAAACAGTATAGATCAAATGGCGACTTTCCAGATTAACTGGTGGAGGAAGACCTCGGGTTCCCCTCTATGCAATATTTCAGGCACAAACAGGCACCTGAGTAGAACCATTGAAGTTGCATAAGCTAAAATGGAGATCTTCTTCACATCAGGATTCAGATCCCCAATGGTGAAAGGCAAGTGGTTTGAAGTCAACAACCTTAACCACTTGGCCATGGACGCCCTTTAAATAAGATAAAGATGTTAATAACATGCCATTGTCGACATACCAGCAGGCCTGTGAGACTAAAAATGGTTGCTATTAAAATTCCTCAAGCTAACAATGGTCTGCATGCTGTATAACCCTTACTACCCTAAATTTCTTAAAATTTACTTATTCCCATCTTTTAATCTGGACAAAACCACTTATCAAATTTAGGGAAAAATTTCAAAATATGGACTGACTTAATAGCAAATTGTGCAGACTATGATCGCAGACGGCAAAGATGACAGGCTAGGGGTTAAGATTGAAAATATTATGAATTTGAGTTCAGATCATGTATAATGATGTATATATTAAGAACATCCATCTCATAAATCATTTAATAAAAAAAACTTAGTGTCTTTTTTTATTTCAAGGTTTTGAGCATGCCTATAATGTCAGTAGTGCAATTAATTTGCAATATTAAGTAGCAAGTTTTATTTCATATTGACAACATCTAAGTTTCCTTAGAAACGGTTTATAATAGCATGACAATACCAGAAAATTGTATATTTCTCCCTTTCAGAACATGAACAATGGGAAATAGTGACAATCACCCCCATGAGACTCTCTTGTCATTATCTAGGATGCAATAATATTAATTTCCTTTGGGTTCACCACTTTAACAATAAAGAGGATTGAAAACAGACAGAAATACAAGGGACTGTTTTATGCAGTAAGGGTATATTTGTTGCTGTTTGTTAAATTTTTAGCCACACTAATACTGTCAAGGTCATCCTTGAGGAGAAAGACCTCTAGTGCCCCTTTGTGTATTATTTCAAGCCCAAGCAGGCACCTGAGTAGAATCACCAACATTGCCTAAGCTAGCTGGATAGCTAATCCAAAGTCCCTGCAGGGATTTGAACCCACAACAGTGAGGGTAATTGAGTGATTTCAGGTTTTTTGAAGCCGTCATTGAATGTTCAGGTGGAAAAAGCATCAGTTAACAGCTAAACCTGAGCCATCTGACCAGAATCTAAGATGATACTGTGTTACTTTATCAGGCTCCAGCTTTTCTTTAAAAAATTATTTTCCTGTCTCTCAGCTCACAGCTCCTAACATTATAAATCTTGACTAATACAATATTAACTAGAAATGTGTCCATAGGACACGGGTGCCCCCACCGTGACACTGTTCTGTCAATCTTTTTACTAAGTCAAGGGAAATAACTCTATAAATACTGGATAAATCCACAAGCAAAACCCCAGGTGCAAATCTAAAATATGCTGAGCAACCTGCCCATAAGGTTTATTGACTATGTCAAATCCTTTTTGAGAAACTTGCGACAAGTTGAAAATTGCAAAAATTTTCTAAGTGAAGGGCAATAACTCTAAAAATACTAAATAAATCCAGACGAAAATACCCAGGTGCACAACTACACATGCTTATCAACATTCCTGTAAAGTTTCATGACTCTAGGTCAAATACTTTTTGAGTTATGTGCGACACAAGTTGAAAATTGCAAAATTTTACTAAGTAAAGGGCAATAACTCTGAAAATACTAAAAATATCCACACGAAAATACCCAGGTGCACAACTACACATGCTGATCATCATTCCTGTAAAGTTTCATGACTGTAGGTCAAATACTTTTTGAGTTACATGCGACACAAGTTGGAAATTGCAAAATTTTACTAAGTCAAGGGCAATAACTCTGAAAATACTAAAAATATGCACACGAAAATACCAAAGTGCACAACTACACATGCTTATCAACATTCCTGTAAAGTTTCATGACTGTAGGTCAAATACTTTTTGAGTTATGTGCGACACAAGTTGAAAATTGCAAAATTTTACTAAGTCAAGGGCAATAACTCTGAAAATACTAAAAATATCCAGACGAAAATACCCAGGTGCACAACTACACATGCTGATCAACATTCCTGTAAAGTTTCAGGACTCTAGGTCAAATACTTTTTGAGTTACATGCGACACAAGTTGAAAATTGCAAAATTTTACTAAGTCAAGGGCAATAACTCTGAAAATACTAAAAATATCCAGACGAAAATACCCAGGTGCACAACTACACATGCTGATCAACATTCCTGTAAAGTTTCAGGACTCTAGGTCAAATACTTTTTGAGTTACATGCGACACAAGTTGAAAATTGCAAAATTTTACTAAGTCAAGGGCAATAACTCTGAAAATACTAAAAATATCCAGACCAAAATACCCAGGTGCACAACTACACATGCTGATCAACATTCCTGTAAAGTTTCATGACTCTAGGTCAAATACTTTTTGAGTTACATGCGACACAAAAGTGAACGGACGGACGGACAAGGGTAAATCTAAATGCCCGCCACTAACGTGGGGGCACAAAAATAACAGACAGGATGTGACCATACAGCTGGAGAGGGGGGAAAAAAGTTTGCCGACTACCTCTGCCAGCTTTACCTTCCTGTTACTTAAAGAAATTAATGCTTAGCTGAAAATAAACATTAATTACTTCAAATTGAAAGCAGATGTTAATACTATCTTATGTTATTTACATAACAAGATTAAACTTGTAACAGGACAAGTCTTTGGCATCATCTCTTTTATACCATTGGTACAACACTTCTTCAGTGTTTCTTGGCAAATAAAGATTTTGCACATTTCACAGTAAACAGAAGCCACATCATCTAACTAACAAACAAAACAATCTAATTCCCAGACAATAAACTATCTAATCTAATATTCTGTTATGTTGGGAAGAATGTGCATTACATACATATTCAACAACAGTAACATGGATATAACAATGTTGCCACTATATCTTGTATGAACCTAAAACTTTCTTTGCTGATTATGTGTGAGTTATGGATTTCAGTACTTCTTTGAATTGTACTTGTTTCCTAACAGAGTTCTTATTTAAATATCTGATACTCAAACTAAGAATAATACAGCATATAGCTTGGTCAGATTGCACAGTTATTTCATTTCTTTATCTAAATTAATTATTTTATTAATTAATTTATTAATCTGGTTGGATTTTAAGTCACCTCAACACATACATAAGGCAATTTTCCAGCTTTACTGGTGAAGGATTTAGACATCAGGTGCCTTTTCATAATGAGTGAGCACCTGTGAAGAACTGCAGACATTCAATAAACTAGCTTGACAGCTCACTCACATGAAAGAATCCAAAGTCATTTGCCAAATTCTAACCAAGAGTGGTTAGGGGCAAGTGATTCTGAAGCCATAGACCTTAGCCACTCTGCCAGGAATGCCCTAAAAATGCTAGTTAGACTTCATTATAAGAACAGCAAAGGTCTGACTATTTAAAAAAGATAATACATTCAAGGCACTCTTTCAAACATCATATAAAGTTCTAAATACAAATTGCAACAGGACATGTAGCAGGCTTACTGTTTGAACAAATATTTGTTCCCATAATGCAAGACCTAAATAATTGTCCTCAAGACAAAAACAAAATATCACAGTTGGAGCATTGTCAAATCTAAATCAAAGCTGCCAGATGATCATTCAAATGGCTTGTTCCTATTTATAAACAACTTTAATAATCACAATCAAACCTTGACTGGGGACATTAATAAGTTCAATGACTTGAACCAAGTAAGTTTCCCACACTGCTGCCAAATTTTTACTTTTGATGTTGTCCACAATGAGAATCCTCCTTGACCTATGTATGAGGACAGTTTTATGGGAAAATATTGCTTGTACTTAACACAGAAACTGACAGTGATTCATTGGGATTCTTTGCTTTAGTGTCAGAATTTCTTCCTAAAATTTATGCAATTACTATATTGTGGTTTAGTATTAAAACTAACATATGGTATGCTCTCTAATTGCCATTAAATAAATAATTAATGCTAATCTTCTACGCTGCACATGTTAATATTTTAATGAGTTTAAGTAGATTAAACAAGATTTTGTTGGTCATACATTTTGACTGTTATTTTAAAAGCTTTTACTAACTGTAAGTCTATCTAAATCATTATCATTAAAGGAACTCCACTGAGGTCCAAATACCTAAAATATAAAATTTGAAAATCTAACAAAGATCAAGTGGAGAACTTAAAATTGAAAATTCTGCAAGTTAATAATGAAAGATATTAAGACTTAAATCAGAAATCAATTTTTTGTGTGATTCTTAGCTTAATTTTGAGTCAAAAGCATTGCAACCCTTTTAATTTTTTTTTTCAAAATAAAAATGATCATAGAGAGAATGACCTTAAAAATTGCACATAAGTTATGGATCCAGACCTACATCAAATGTTACACAAATCTTTGAAAAAAAATATTTCTAGTCCCATATGATGTTAAAATAAGAGTCATAAGAGTCCCTTTAATGTTTTACAGTAAATAATAGTGTTAACAAATGAGCCGCGTCACGACAAAACCAACATAATGGGTTTGCGACCAGCATGGATCCAGATCAGCCTGCGCATCCGCACAGTCTGATCAGGATCCATGCTGTTCGCTTACAAACTCTATAACAAGTAGAGAAACTGATAGCGAACAGCATGGATCCTGATCAGACTGCGTGGATGCGCAGGCTGGTCTGGATCCATGCTGGTCGCAAACCCATTATGTTGGTTTTGTCATGACACGGCTCAAATGTATTTAAAAGAAAACTCACTTGAGTTACATGATTGTACTTCCATTACAAATTTTCATGGGATTTTACTAAAAAAATTATAATGTGTTGAAAATTCTTTAAATTTCAGTAGTTTTTACAAACAATTCATTTGCACAGAAATAGCTTAAAACACTTTCATTACTGGCAAAAACTTGGCATTGTAATTACAAATTTTCTCTAAATTCTGCATTATTTTCAAGAAATTTGGAGGCATCAATAATTGTTAATCAGGAAGTATTGTTTAACAATGGCTAACTTATTCCCAAAGTCTTACAGCAAACTGTGTTTATTTGTTACAAAGTAACCACCCAATCTTTACAACAAACAGTTTCCCTTCGGCTGTGTGAAATATCATTATCCATCATTTGTCATTGGTCAGGTCTTGGGGGACATTTTTTACAGATTTTCTCAGAAAACCACAACTAAAATAAAATAAAGCACTTGTAATGTTTCCTTTAAGATAGTGCCAATGTCATTTACAAAATTTGTAATACTTCTGTAATTATACTCACACATGCACCAAAGAAAATAATGCATGAAATTAAACAAACAAATTAACAAGAACTGTCAGTAGGACAGTGCTCGGGACTTTTCTCAGTGCTTAAAGTAATGATAGTTAAGATATTCCTTTTAGCTGCAAAAATCCAAACTGAATGGATTAAATGAATTCTAATATTAATGAGATTTGTAAAAATTTTAAATTGAATTGATGTAAGATGCAGAAAATGCAAAATTGGGAAGGGGGGGGGGGGGGGGGGGGGGGGGGTTCTGAGATTAAATTTTGTTAGATTTTCTGTCTTTTGCAATTTTGCAAATGAGACTTGCATAAAATGGATTTTTTTTACCTTCTTTACAATGGCATTGTCTAAGGAAGTTTGGTTATAACACGAAAACCATGTGGTTTGGCCAAAAGATTAAAGACATGTGTCAACGTGTCACCAGAGACAAAATGGATTCCAAGTTAAGCTCAGTTTCAGCCAGGTGTGTGACCTTGTCAACTAACCAAAGACAATAAAATAAATTGGTATAATTCTATTTTCACAACAACTTAGCAACTTACCTGTACCAACATTGCTTATAATCAAGTGATGTTCCACTTATTTGACACTAAATATTGTTGTTCCCAACGATGATTTATTAATCACCAAATGATGATGACCAGGACAGATAACAATGAAATAAAATATCATAAAAGAGATTCTTGGTTCCCAATTAATCTTAAAACTCAATGCTATTGATTAAAGCTCTTCAAGAGGGAGGAGAGAAAAGCAGTAAAAACGGGAGAAAAAAAGTTGATAAGAAAAAAGTGACAGAAAAACTAGAATCACAGATTCAGAAATGGTATAATCTGCCTCTGTATGTCATATCTGTTCAGACAATGTATGATGGAGATGTCTCCAGACACAGGAAATTTCTTGAGATATTCTTCGAAAGTTTCCGCAAAATAAATGTGTACCGGTAATACTTGGTAATACTTTACATTTCACACCTTCTAGACTATACATCACCATAAAATTATTCTACTCAAGCCCTATCAATTCTAGTTAGACCTTACAAATCATTTCCTTCTTATAAAACTGAGAGAAGATATTCAGACATTTTGAGATAATAACTGTTTAAGAATATATGTCAACAAAAGTTAGACACACAATGTCAATAGAGAATTTCATATTTATAGTAAAGAGACTTTCAGTACCAGTGTGACTAAATGATATAGTAAATAACATCAGACAAGTATGGAGAAACATAGTAATGACTCTTAAATAAGGTTGTCATGTCCTTTTATGCTTATGTGTTATTTCATAATCTAAAGTGCAAGTAACACATGTTCTATAGATCATCTGCTGCTCATTACATAACATGTCACAGACTTTCTTCTATAGATTGTCTGGTGCTACATAATAATTTAGACATTACTAACCTGGGTGGAGTAGATATTACAGGCAGCCCATCTCACAGATGCACCTAAATGGACCAATGTCTCAATCAGTACCTGCAAAACATGAAACAAAACAAGAACATCATTCATTGGCTTGAAATATCAGGGTAACTAACCTTACAAAAGTGAGAAATATTATTTTTTAAATTATAAAAGCTTTAGAAAGACATCTACATTAAATTCAATTTTTTATTACATTAACCATAATTGGTTCTACCAAACCTACACATTTCTTTGAAATAAAAAAGAAAAAAGTTTATAAAGCAAGAATTGTATTAATTAAATTTGCCTCTGTTTGCCATTCTTAATCAATGGACACAACTCAATCAGCTATTCCAAGGAGAAATCATGAATAAATTTATTAGACAGAGATAAATCACAGTGTCCATTCATCCTGGTAAATTGGTCAACTCTTTTACATGTCCTTTAGGCCAAAGACACAATATTATTATATATTGTAGGACATTATGTTTCATTATGATTCTACCGTTTTGCCTTTTCTGTACAGATTCTTAACATCATTCTTTAGGGTCGGTAATACGAGAATCATTGTTTCATCTTTTTCCCAAGGTTTTATCTAACACGCACACACAAAACAGAATGTTAACATGGGCAAAAACTGCTTTGAAGCTGAAAATGTCTCTGTCAGTGTGTATTTTACAACATGACAATAAAGTTGTTTCATTTCAATCAAAGTGTCTAAAAATACATTCATTTATTCCTTAACAGCACTATAAAATAAGAGTGAAATGAGGGAAAGAAACTTAAATTAAACAAGTTTATTGTCCATCTTTATTGATAAATTTACGCAAGGCTTTTACTGAAATTAACTACTCCAGGAACAATTACATATATTGCCCTTTATCAATGAATAAAAACTTCCATTCTACCTGATCAAATATTTGTTACAGATATTATACCTAAATTAGGTTCTACAATCTGAGGCAGAACATTAAAATATTAACACTAAAGAGTCAAGTTCATCTAGTTGGTACAAACATGCACAATGCTTTGACTTCGCTCCAAAAATACTTGAATTTGAAGCCTCAGTAATGTATAAAAACTGGGATTTATAAATAGCATTATTTAAATTGAGATGCAAATAATATTAAAATTAGGTCAGACCATTATGGTCACTTATAACATAAACTTAATTGTCAATCAATGTTAGTGTTGCATGGAGTTGTTGATAAGAAATTTCATTATACTTTGACATATTCTGAACTGTTTAATGAACAAGAGCTGTCGGTAGGACAGCAACGCTCGACTATTCTTAGTGCTTGATAGTAAAAAAAAATGCTTGATACAGTTACCTCCTCCTGTTTACAGGTTGGGGTCATGATGGTGAACAATTGTGCAAAGTTTCAGAGCCATATGTCAATGGACTTTGAAAATATTTGAACTATTACAAAAACTTTAACGTAAATTTCTAAGTCGAAAAAGGGGCATAATTCTGTCAAAATGCATGATAGAGTTACCTCCTCCTGTCTACAGGTTGGGGTCATGATGGTGAACAAGTGTGCAAAATTTCAAAGCCATATGTCTATGGACTTTGAAAATATTTGAACTATTACAAAAACTTTAACATAAGTGGTTACGCTGACGCGGACGCCGACGCTCGGGTGACTGCAATAGCTCTACTTATTCTTATCGAATAGTCGAGCTTATAAAACTATACAAAATCATCATTTAAACTCTTAATTAGTTTTTTTTATTGAAAATCTGTAAAGCTTTTAAAATCATTTGAACAATTTCATAAATCCATCCAGTTTTTCAAATGAGTACAACTTTAAGGCTTACAATTTTAGTAGTTTTTGCAAGAAAAATGTTCTTAGGTCCATAATAAACCCAATTATGTTATTTGTTCTCCAATTAACTTCCTCAGAAAATAGTGGGAGGCATTATTCACTGTTTTGTTGTCATTATATTACTCAAAGAAAATAAATGAACAAAAAGAAAGGACAGCATCTCTTTAACTGCCAAATAAGCTCAATTACTGATAATTACATGTTCTGTTACAGAACATTATAAGTAAGTAAGTAAGTAAGTAAGTAACGACTTTATTTAATGAGGCTAGCACATTCGGTTTCCCGATCTTCCATGTGGGCCTCAGCATATACATATATAAAAAAATGGAAAAATGACATATATAATTTAAATGGAAAATTGCCAATGAATATAGTTGGCTTGAAATTTTTTCAAAGTTTCAGAATTTCTAACATGTATTGGAATGTCATTCCATATTGTAGGCCCAGAGTAATTAAGTGTTTTCCTAAAACACTCTGTTTTTGGTTTAGGTACAATTAGTTTTTCATTTTGGACAGATCTCAAATTAAAGTTGTGTCTGTCATTTACTGTTTGAAATTTATTTTTCATATACTTAGGAAAGGATGGTTCATTTATTGACTTATACATTATAATTGCCTTTTTGTATCTGATTCTTTGGTCAAAGGACATCCAATTTAGTTCTTTAAATAGTTCATTTGATGGGGCATCAAAATTTTTGTCCAAAATTATTCTAGCAGCTCTTTTTTGAAATTTGACTATTTGTGAGAGTAAATCACTGCTGCAGTTTCCCCAAATAGTGCAGCAGTAGTCCAAATGTGGCAGTATATATGCATTGAAGAAAAGTTTTCTAGCATGAAGATCAAGATATTGTTTAATTCTAAGAAGCAAATAGAGCTGTGAATTGCATTTTTTAATAATTTTTTGAATGTGTGTTTTCCATTTTAGATTTTTGTCAACATAGACTCCTAGTACTTTTTCATTGTCTGTAAATTCTATTTCTTGATTGTGAAGGTTAAGAGAAGGTGTTGAAGAATGCTCAGATTTTGAATGCTTTATTGAGAAATTCATAGCTTTAGTTTTTTGTGCATTTAGTATCATTGAATTTTGTACACACCATGTGCTTATACTATCAAGATCTGATTGAAGATTATCTTCTACTTCCCTTATAGTATTTCCAGTTGAAGTTAGAGAAGTGTCATCTGCAAACATATCAGTATTTGACTTTTTTATATGAAGATGTATGTCATTTATGTAAATTAAGAATAGTAGGGGCCCTAGGACTGAGCCCTGGGGTACTCCGGAGACAACTTCAGCAGATTCTGATAAAACACCAGACACATTTACTTTTTGTGACCTGTCTGACAGATATGATGTAATCCAAGAAATAGTGTGTGAGGAAAGATGATAGAAGGGTAGTTTTTCAATAAGAATTTTGTGATTAACTAAATCAAAGGCCTTAGATAAGTCCAGAAAAACAGTTCCAACAATTTTGCCATCATTAAGTGCATTTATCCAATTATCAATTAAATTTGTAAGTGCTGTTTCACATGAATGGTATGCCCTGAAGCCTGATTGAGCTGTGTAGAGGAAATTGTTTGTTTCTAAAAATAGCTTCAAGTTGTCAGAAACATGTTTTTCAAATATTTTTGAGATAAGTGGGAGAACTGAAATTGGTCTATAGTTGTTTTTGTCAGACTTGAGGCCTTTCTTGTAGATTGGTGTTACCTTTGATTGTTTTAACTGTGTAGGAAATTTTCCAGTTTTAATACTTAAGTTTATTATGGTACAAAGGGGTTTATCTATGACACTTGCTGCCGTTTTTAGAAATTTTGCACTAATGCCATCTAAGCCTGTTGCTTTCGTAATATCGAGACTGTTCAGTTTTTGTTTTACATAACTTAGTTCAACATAGGGGATTTCAAATTTATTATTATGATTATCAGTCTGGAAACATGTTGTTTAAGGAAGAAAATATTTAAGGGGGTCGTTCAAATGCAAACTCTGGTTCTTTTATTTTTTGTAGGCATTAAATCACATCAAATCTGTTTATAGCAATTTTTCAGTTTAAGTCACAGGAATGGTGTAATGGTATGTAAACTGTAATGAAAAATGTTATTATTTTATTATGTGTGATTTTTTAGTTTTTTTTCTTTATTTATATAAAATTTAACATAAATCCAAGTTATCTAATTTAGCATTTTTTCATTATATGAGATACTATTTGTATGAAACTTGTCTACCTACACACCAGTCTCCACAACAGACATGCTTCTATACAACCTCCATGTCTGTCTGGAAATCAATCCAAAGTTCTCTCTTTAACTCCAAGATTGCAGGTGTAAAATACTTTCCTCATAGCTATACTTAATGCATTTTTTTATTTCTAAAGTTAATTATTACCCTGTCAAATGGAAGTTATTTGCGCAAAGGTTAATGAAACATCTTCAATTTTAGAATCATGCACAATACTTAATTAATGTCTTGAATTAAATGGACTTAACTGCCAGATAATACAGAATTATAACAAACTCTGGTTCGCTATTCAACATTTTCTCATAATTATAATACCCAGACTAGGTTGGGTTCATTAACTCTTTTTTTAGGTCTATTTACTAGGTTGGGTTCATTAACTTCTTTATGTCTATTTAAAGTCACAGCAGCTCATGGTGAAATGTAGATTAGTGTCAATGTACCAGTCTAAGGCACACAACTGACTGACAACTTACACAATCTTTCAGGTCATGAACATTTATTTTTCTAAGATAATCAATTCTTGAATTGAACATTGATTGACATTTCAATGATCTGTTACGTAAAGACTCATTTCACATATATATGAGATTTTTTTGCAACTAGTTCCATAAACGGCATAAAGCCAACATGTAGGCTGATTTACAAGGGCATATTGACCGATTTACATGCAGAGTTTTCTGAAAATTTTATTCTACATAATAGGGTTTAGAGTACAGAGGAAATTAATTTCTTAGGCAATAGGATAAACTGCCAAGACCTTAATGCCTATCTAATTACATGTTATTGATTGAGATTAGCTTCTTCAATTTGGCGAGGGGACACATCATCCTCAAGTCTTATCTTTGTGACATGTTTCTCAACTTTGAAGATATGTGGCACAGAGAAATTCACCAAGTGGAAAGTCATGCTGTCTTGTCAGCATTAATGTCTCTCTATCTCTCATCATTGTGCAATCAATAAACAAGATAAGACTTCTCCAACTTGTCACATCAACTTTGATAGAATGATAGAAT